CCCGAGCTGCGGCGGCTGGCGGCGGCGCTGGCGGCGGGGCTGCGGTGCCGGCCGTGCCTGGGGCTGAGCGCCCCGCAGCTCGGGGTGCCGCTGCGGGTGTTCGCCGCCGAGCTGCCGCCCGACCGCTGCGCGCAGTACCCGGCGGCGCTGCGCCGCGCACACCGCATCGAGCCCTTCCCGCTCCGCCTGCTCGTCAACCCCGCGCTCCGTGTCCTCGATACCCGCCTCGTCACCGCCCCCGAGGGCTGCGCCAGCATCCACGGCTTCTCCGCCTACGTCCCGCGGCACTGGGCCGTCCACGTCTCCGGTATGGACCGACCCTCCCTGCACCGGGGTACTGCCCTGCCCTGTCTCGGGTGGGACCCCGCACCTGCCACTTCCACCCACCACGGGCCCCCATTCTATCACATGTCCCCCCACACTCTCACGGGTCCCCCTTTATTCCATGGATCTCCTTCGGGGATATACCCCACTCTCACATGGTCCCCCCATTCCCACACGATCTCCCCATTCTCTCATGGGTCCCTCCAATTTCACACAAGTCCCCTACTCTCACAAGGGTCCCCCTTTTTGGCCCCCCAATCACATAGCCCCCCCAGTCCCCCCAGCTCTCCAACAAGTTCCCCTGGCAGCAGGTGTGGACGAGCTCGGGGTGCCGGTGAGCTGGGAGGCCATGGGCTGGGCTGCCCGCATCATCCAGCACGAGATGGACCACCTGGACGGGATCCTCTACATCGACCGCATGGACCCCCGCACCTTCACCAATGTGGGCTGGATGGAGCTCATGGACTGACCCTGCTGTGCCCACCCCCAGCTGCCCTGTGTGCCCGGGGCCCCTCCGTGCAGTGGGCCCTCTCTAACCCTGGAGAAAGAACCAGCACGGAGCCACAGCCCAGGGGCTCCCACTCAGGTTTATTGCAGCCAATATAGACCTGTGGCCTCAGTGTGGCTCTGGCCCTTCCTGCCCACCAGCACCCTAGGCTCATGGTGGGGGGCAACTGGGGGGTCCAGCCCATGCTCCCCTGGGCACTGTAAATCACTTCATGGGTCTAGGAACAGCCTGCTGCCATGGCTGTGCTGGAGAAAGGTGAGGGAATCTCTCCTTCTGGGGCTTCTTTGGGGCACATGGGCACAGCATAAGGGGCAGCTGGGTGGGGCTAGGGAGTCAGTGGGGCTGACGGGAGCCCTTGGGGACATGGGTGGGTGGGTGTTATTGGCTGGTGGGCTGCTCCAAACAGCCCCTGCTGTAGGCACAAATCCCTGTCTGGGATGGCTGGAGCATGGGGAGCCCCACACACCCCTGGGGACAGGCAGAGACCTTGGACCTGGGGCAGTGCATTTTGGGGGTGGGGGGCTGGGCTGGGCCCCCCAGTGTGGGCAGAGCCTTGGGGAGCATCTGGGTGCTGGCTGAAGCTTTTGGATTGTTTTTATTTTCATATAAACGAGACGAAACCCAAAGCAGCATTAATTTAAAAAATAAAAAAGAGCAAGAAGAAGAGTGGAGCGCAGCCAGAGGGGCACCCAGCTGCCCAGGCCATGCTCAGACCCCCACCCCGTAGTGTGAGCCCCCCGGGCTGTGTCCCTGCGCCCGCTGGGTGCTGCAGTGCGATGGGAGGGAGTGAGCGAAGATGAGTTGGTTTGGCACGCCCGGGGAGGGGGGGCAGAGCAGGGCCCATGGCCGCCCCAACCCCACACCCCCCCATGCCCCCCTCAACCTTCCTGTCCAAAGTCCTCCGTGAATTTCTTCACCTTGAGGAGATCCTCGGCGTTGACGGTGGGGCGGGTGGTGGCCAGCGAGCGCAGCATGTCCGACTGCAACACAGGTGGGGGGGCACACAGGTCAGACCAGGGGCACGGGTAGGGACTCCCCCACCATGGCAGTGGGGCAGCTCTGCCCATGCTGGCACCTTTGCCCCATGGCAGCAGCACTGGCTTTGCAGGTGGGAGCTGCCTGGAGAACCCAAGGCCCTTTCCTAGTACCCAGCTCTCCTTGGGGAGCTCAGCACCACAAGGGAGTAGACTGGGGGGCTGTGCCCACTGCCAGAAGCCACAGCACTGCCTAGCCCTTGGCCTGGAGGAGGAACAGGGAACTAGCTGGGCCTGAGCCACAGCACTGTCGTGCCAGGCTGGGCAGGTGCCTGCCCCGCATCCCAGAGCTGACACTCACCATGCAGACAATGGGCTCCATCAGCTTGTCACTGGGCACCTCCATCCAGGTCATCTCAGTGGCCCCAGGGTCACCGGGCGAGCACGGCGTCAGGAGATCATCCACGAGGACGCCGGGGGTGGTGCGGGAGGGGCCGCGGACCTGCGCAGAGCCACAGGCAGCTGGGACAGTGCTCAGGGCAGGACAGCAGCCGCGGGGCCCACCCCACCCTGGGGACCCCCCCGGAGCAGAGCAGCCCTGTTCACCTTCTTGAAGTGCGTGGCCGACTGCACCTTTCGCACAGGCTGCATGAGGGCGTCCCGCACGATGATGCTGATGTCGGCCCCCGAGTAGCCATCGGTCTTGCGGGCGAGTTCCAGGATGTCGGCGTCCTTCAGGGAGTGCGGGGTGTTGCCCAGGTGCAGCCGGAACATCTGGGCCCGCGCTGCCTCCTCGGGCAGTGGGATGTAGATTCGCTTCTCAAACCTGGGGGGGGGTGGTGAGCCCCACTGTGAGCCCGTGCCAGCCCTGCCGGGAGCTCAGGGGTTGGGAGCTGCATGTCCTGCTCACCTTCTCCTGATGGCTGAGTCCAGCACCCAGGGGATGTTGGTGGCACCCAGCACCAGGATCCCGTCACTGCTGTTCCCCACACCTGCAGGCAGATGACTCAGACTAATCCCCAGGGGTCCTCTGAATCCCCAGCTTCTGCTAGCCCCATCTTGCCACCCCTGCCACCCTCCCAGGACCCCCATCCCGGGACTCCACCCACCCTGCATCTGCACCAGGAACTCGGTCTTGATGCGCCGGGCTGCCTCGCTCTCGTTCTCGTTGCGGGAGCCGCACAGTGAGTCCACCTCGTCGATGAAGATGATGGAGGGCTTGTGCTGCCTTGCCAGCTCAAACAGGTTCTTCACCAGCCTGGGAACAAAGCAGGGGATGGGTCCCCACTCAAGGACCCTCCCCAGCATCCAGCACCCATGGCAGCCCCAGGGTGAGGAGCCCCATGTTCCTCTTGCCCCAAAAAACCCTGCACTGGCAGTGAGGCACAGCACCTCAAGGGGCTCTGCTCTCCCCTGGGAACCTGCTCAGGATTAAAAGTAAGTATAAATATAGGATATTAGAAATTAATTGTGTAGAGCGAAGTTTAATTGTAACTTGGTCACGGCTTGGTAGGGGTGGCCCCTGCCCAATGTTTGGTGTAGGTGAACTCTACATGAACTCTAAGCATGGATGGCTGAGCAGGGGAGAAACAGACAGATGGGAAACTTTCAGATATGGCTGAGACCCTGGAGGGCCCCAAGACTGCCCCAAGCTAGAGGATGAGAATGGAGAAAGAGTCCAGTGATGTCTAAGAAGACCCGAGCCCACAAATCGCTGTTGGACCGAGAGGTGTGTGAAGATGGGGGGCACAGGCTGTGAGGGGATAGAGACCCCAGGACTGCTTTGTTCGGAGTTTGCCTCTGGAGGAACCAGCTCCCAACACTTCCTAAACAGCCCTGTTACTGGGGTTCACTGATGCTGGTGGTTCATGCCCCAGCCCAGACCAGCCTGGAGCCAGCCTCAGCCCCACATCCCTGCTGCCAACTTACTTCTCGCTCTCCCCCAGCCATTTGGACATCAGGTCAGAGGATGACACGGAGAAGAAGGTGGAGTTGTTGGCCTCGGTGGCCACAGCCTTGGCCAGGTAGGACTTGCCAGTGCCGGGCGGCCCAAAGAGCAGGATCCCGCGCCAGGGCGTGCGCTTCCCTGCGGCAGAGCCTGGCCTCAGGACACCCCATCCCCGCACCTGGATCCACACTGGGATCACCCGGGGGGGAGGTAGGGGGTGTCAGCTCCTGCATGGCCCCTCCCCACTGCCCCAGCCTCACCTGTGAACAGGTGTGGGAACTTGATGGGCAGGATCACAGCCTCCTTCAGGGCTTCCTTGGCTCCCTCCAGTCCGGCCACGTCACTCCACCGCACGTTGGGCTTCTCCATCATGATGGCACCTGTGAGGGGGCAGCTCTGCTCACGCAGGCACCCAGAGCTGGCAGAGCCAGAGGCCCTGCCCCTCCCCACACCTCCCCTGGGCACAGCAACCGATTTGGGGGTGGCCAGACTGCAGCAACACACTCCTGGAACACAGTCTCACACCTGCTCCCCTTCCCACAGCTACCCCTGTGGTGGGCATCAGGGATTCCCTCCTCAACCCCAGCAGGTCGAGCCCAGGTGTGGCCCCTCACCCATCAGCTGCTCCTGAAGCTTCTTCTTCTCAGGGTTCTCGCCCTCGCTGTCACTGTCACTCCTGGGGACAAGGGACAAGGATCAGGAGTGGGACATGCCCTGGTGTGGCAGCAGGGCCCTGCCAGCTCCGTGGCCGTGCAGGGGGTCCCTCATCCCCCAGCCCCTCACGCACCCCTTGTTGTCATTCTGGGCCTCCTTGACCGGCCTCTTTCCATGCCTGTCCTTGCTGCGAAGGTACTCCTTCAGCTTCTCTGCCCGGTCCAGGTACTGCACACACTTAGCTCGGATGCTCTCCTTGGCCTTGTCACTGTGAGCCTCATCTGCAGGGACCCCCAGGCGTCACCGTGAGCCCCCGGAGCCCCTCGAGCACCGGCGTCCCCGGACCCCCCGCCCCCGCGGCCGGTCTCACATTTGATGGCGTGCAGGAAGTACTCCACGGCGTGCTGGTACAGCCGCAGCGCCTCCTCGTAGTTCTTGGCCTTGTCCTCCTCGGTGGCTTTGGTGACCAGGTCGATGGCTTTCTGTGGGGGGGGCAGCGCCGTGAGCACCGGGGGCGGGCCGGGGAGCCCCTCCCCACCGCCGGCACCGGGCCGGGCCCGCCCGCACCCGGGCCCTTCCGCAGCGCCCCGCACCCTCCCCGCCGCGCCGGCACCGGCTCTCGGCAGGACGAGTCAGCTCCGGCAGGGCCCAGGACCAGGGCTGGGTGAGGCCTATCCCCGGCCGGCACGGCGCCGGGCCCGCTGCGGCCCGTCAGCCGTGGCGCGTAGAGGCCCGGCGCGAGGGCGCGCGGGGGCGGCGCGGGCGGAGTCCCGTGGCCGGTCGGTACCTGCAGGGTGGACGTTGTCATCGCATCGCCCGGTGCGGCCGCTCCGGCGGCTCCGGAACGGCGGCGGCGGCGGCTGCACCGACTGCGCCTGCGCCCCCTGCCGGCCCCGCCCAGCCCCGCGCCCCCTGCCGGCCCCGCCCGGCACTGCGCCCCCCGCCGGCCCCGCCCACCACGGGGCGTGGTAACGCATAACCCCGCCTACCTAACAGGTGACACACCGCTGTTGGGGCGTGGCCTCGTGTAGGCCCGCCCAGCGAGCACCCGCGTGCGCGCGCATCCACCCTCATAACGGGTGTGGGGGTGTGGTTGGGGGGGGGGGTGGCTGCGTTTGTTCGTGCGTCTTCATGTGTGCATGTGTATGTGTTCATGTGTGTCTGGGTTCACGTGTGCACACGCATGTTTGTGTGTGTGTGCACCCATAGACACAGACACACACACCTGGACACACACACACACACTCTGCACATGTGTGCACCCACAGACACCCCCCAAAACTTTGAGTGTGTGTGTGTGTGTGTACTCACAGACACGCGCTCACACAAACACACGCAGGCACCTGGACATTCTCACACACTCTCCCCATGTATGGGCTCCCACAGACACACCCACAAACACCCCCATCCCAAACACTCGGAGTGCATGTGGACGTGTTCACACCCATGTACACACCCCTACACACAGACTCTGTGTGTGTTCGTGTGTGTGTGTGTGTGTGTGTACATACCCACCATGCAGTTGCACCCATGAAACTCCCCTCTGTGTCCCACATGTGCACACCCCCACACTGTGCCCAGGTGTACAGGATAGACCTGCACACATACACACACACAAACACCCACACAGACACATCCCCACACCCACACACGTATGCACAGAGTGTGTATATACCTACACCCCCCCCACACACCCCACCCCAAACACCTGCTCTTACCTGTGCTACTGTTGAGCCCACCTCTCCCAGAGCTGAACTGGCCCCACTGCCCCAGCTGCTCCTGCTGAAAGAGTCACCCCAGTCACCCCCAGAAATCCCAGAAAGCCCCCACCCAAGCATGCCCAGAGATCCCCCCATTCCCTCCAGAATCCTTCCCAGAGGATCCCCTGGGATCCCCAAAGACACCCACCCCAGCCCTCCCAGAGAATCCTTAGTTCCCCCATCAGCCCCACACGAGATTGTGTCCAGTACATGCCAGTCTCCCTTGCACTGGCCAGCCCAGCACAGCCCACCCTGCCCTCCCTGTGCTGTACTGTGAATTAATTGTCCCTCCAGCAGACACACACACACACTGTGAAAACACCTCCGGGCCCCCTAGCCCCCAGGCACCCCCTAAATGAGACTCAGAGCCCATGGAAAAGGCAATCTGATATAAATAGCGATTTACAAAGAATACAAAAATAGAAAAGGGGGCAGCACCTCATGGGATCTCACGGGACCCTCCAGCCAGCGCAGCCCCCCCAGAAGCAGAGAACTGTGCAGGAGTTTGGCTGAGGGTACTGGGACCTCGGTGGGAGTGGGGAGCCCTGGGGGTCCTGCTCTGGCACTGCCTGGGATCTCCCAGCACTCCAGGGCATGGAAACTGCCCTCAAGAGGGGAGGGAAAGTACAAAAAGCGAAAGTGCATCAGTCTATGTGTCCTGCCCCCACCCATGGGGACCCCCCAGGGGCAAGGGGCAAAGGCAGCAGTGGCTGGGGTGGGGACAGCTCGGGGGGGGGCCCAGCAGCCCTGGCCCCCACGTCCAGGGCAGATACACAGCATTGTTCTGGCTTTGGGAGGTTTGGGGGTCACTGCTGGGGAGCAGTGGGGGGTGGGGTAGCTGAGCCCCAGGGAACAACACCCCAGGCTCAGGCACCCCCTTTGCACCCCTGAGTGACCCCTGTAAGACAAATGTGTGTGTGTCCCCTGAGCAGGGCATGGGGACCCCTCATGCAGCAATAAGGGGGGGTCCCACAGCCCGAGCTCTCCTCCAGATAGGGACAATGTGACCCCCTTGGGGGAAGCCCCCCCAGACTGACTCCCCCAAACATGGGTTGAGGAGCATGGGGGGTCCCCCAGTTATGGGTTGGGGAGCACCAGGGGTCCCCCAGGCATGGAGGCCAGGCTGGCCTCACTCCAAGGCACAGGCGGTGAAATCAGCAATGGCTTCAGCCCCGGAGGGATCAAAGCTGGTGTCTGTACTCCAACAGCCCCCTGGGGCACTGGAGAGTCTGGGGGTGCTGGTGTGAGCAGGAGGGGCTCATTCCCCACCTGGGCAGCCATCCTGCTGCAGTCCTGGAGGCTCTCAGGGCAGGGATCCCAGCCCCAGCAAGGCACTGGTAGGGCAGGAGAGGTTGGGGGTCCCTCTGTGACCCCCGGCTCGTTCCTGACAGCGTGGGGGACCTGGGGCACCTACGCCAGCAGCCCCATGCGGGTGACTTTGGCTGAGAGGAAGGTGTGCAGGACGAAGACGATGGGTTTGGGGCAGGAGTGCAGGTCCAGTGCCTGGGGAGAGATGGAGAGTGGTGTCAGCCCCCCTCATCTCAAACAGTTCCCCACAGGGGGGGCACCACGTGGTAGGGGATCCCAACCAGCCAAACCCAGCAGGTGTAGACACCCGGGACACTGAAGGGTTGGGGGAAAGCAGAAACCACCCGTGGAGGAAAACCCCATAAACAAAGGGGTAAGCCTGGCTGCTCCCTCCTCACCAGCTCCCCCTCAGGGCCTCCGAAATCCAAGTAGAGAGTCCTGATGCCATCGTCCGCCGACATCTTCAGCCGCTCGTAGGGGTAGCGGAAGAGGACGCTGGCACCCGGCTCCTCCCGGGAGATGGTGAATCCACCCTCGTAGTGGATGGAGAGCTGGACCTCCTGCCCGCCCAGCGTGCAGCCTGCAGGCACAGCCACTGTCAGACCCTGCCCCCCTGCCAAGCCCCACAGCCCCAGAAGGGTGGGAATGGGGGATCCCTGGGTCCGCCCCGCAGTACTCACCCACAGTCACCTCCTTGATGAGCTCAGCAGCAGCGTGGCAGCCCTGCACCAGGACACGTGTCCAGGCTGAGAGGTCCCGGTGTGTCTCCACGCGGAACACGTGCATCTCCACGCCCTGGCGCGACCCCGTCCGCGTGGCAAAGGTCAGCTCCGAGCCCAGCGCAGGTGAGCGGCGCCCGGAGCCTGAGTGGACCAGCCTGGAGGGTGGGACACGGATGGGGGGGGGGGTCAGGGTGCCATGGCAGTGCCAGCAGCACGGCACCCCATGCCCATCTGAGCTTTGGCATTTCCCCCTGCTCCAAGAGGCAGAGCCACGGCTCGATCGAGGGGCACTGGTCCCCAAGGGGGTCCAGCCCAGCCCACCTGGTGGCCACCAGTGGGTAGCTGTGGCAGGGGGAGGCCCAGGCATCCCTGGTCCAGGGCATCCCGTCGTATAGCAGCAGGTCCTTCTCTGTCACTGCCATGAGCACCGGCCGCCACTGCTGCCGCCCGCCGTCCAGCCGCGCCTGCCAGGCACGAGGGCACTGTGAGGGGCACCAGGGGCTGCAGGTGCCCACCACTGCCCAGCACCCCAATCTCTGCACTCATGGCTGGATGGATTACAACCCAGAGGCTCCACACTGACAGGATCTCAGCAGCACCCAAGGTGCTGCCATCCTTTATCATCTATGATTCTATCCTGGCAAACCATGCCAGGAGCAGCCCCCAGGGGTCCTGCTCACCACCATGCCTGGGCCAGCTGCAGCTATCAGCCAGCAAATTCATGGAAAAGGGAAGGTATGATGAGTGTCTCCAGCTAGGAAACCCCAGTGGGAGAGGGGGCTTAGGGCATGGGAAGCACTGCTATTACTAGGGCACAGAAGGGAGAGCAGTAGAGCCGGTGGCCAGGCTGGGCTCTCTGGCTGCATCCATAGCCCCAGTGAATCGTCGGCACACCCCGTTGGCACTGCCATCCCCAGGAGCATCCCAGCACACCCCGTTGGCATGTACCTGCTCAGCCAGCCAGGCAATGTGCTTCACCTCCTGCCTGCCGGCCGTGGGGCTGCCAGAGCGCAGCGTGGCATTGAGCTCGGCCAGGACCTGTGGCAGCAGCGCAGTGATGTTGGCGTGCAGGGCGCTGAACCAGGCGTGGGCCGTGGCCGTGTCCCGGCACCGCAGCACCAGTGTGTTCCGGCTGTCCGGTGAGTGCAGCTCGATCAGTCTGTGAGGGGACGGGGACAGGAAACGGGGTAGGATATCAGGACATGGTGCGGGGTGGGATATCGGCACACCAGCACCCACCAGCAGCCCCTGCCCTCACCTGTTCTCCAGGTCAGGCATGCTGAGGTTCCGGGCAGCAAAGCACATCTTGAGGGGAATCACCTTGCGGTCACGGGGCCCCTGGTGCTGGGGGGATCCCGAGTCCTCACTGCCACTCAGGCTGGGGGACTGTGGGGCCACCCCCTCCCATGGCAGGTCCGACACGAGCGATGGCTTCTTGATGTAGGGGGTCACCTCCCGCATGAACTTCACTGAGGGGGTAGTGGGGGGAACAGTCAAGGCTGGGCAGGGTCCTGCACCCCAATACCATAGCCCTTTGCCCCAGGGACGCTCTGTCTGTGGGGTGATGTGCCCTCCCTGCAAACACCAAGGCTTGGAGAGTCTTGGGGGGTCCCACTCTCCCTGGGACGGGGATGTCCTGAGTGAAGGACGGTGCTGGCAGCTCATCCTGGTGATGGCGCGGGTGTAGGAAGGGGAAGGCAGCAAAGGACAATGGTGCTGGGCAGGAGGTCAGGTTGCAGCCCATCCTGGTCCCATCCTGCCCCGTCGCTGCTGGAGCAGCCAGGACTGCGCCCGCCAAGTTTCCAGCGCCGCAGGCAATGCCGGCGGCTGACCTTGCACTGCCACTTATGGCCCGACGGCAGCCGGCCTCCGGAGGGTGTGCAGCCAAGACATCCCGGCTCCTATGCCGGGAAGGAAGGAAGGAGGCACCAGCTCCAGCTCCTGCTCCTGCTCCCCCCGGACTATCCCACCCCAGCACCACCCCGCTGACGTTAGCCCTGGACCCCCGCCCAGCTGAGCCCCAGCAGCCAAAGCCAAGGGAGGGACACGCTGGGGACAGAGAAGGGGCGGCAAGAGGGAAAACCAAACCAAAACAACAAATAGGCTGTAATGCCTGGAAAGCGAGTGGTGAAAGGATCCATGGAGCCAGCATGATGCCACAGCTAGGCCTGCTGGGGTGGGAACCACAGTGGCAGTGGGGCCCACATTGTGCCGCTGCCAATCCCCTGCTGTGGGTCTGCCAGGCGGGAAGGGGGAGCAGAGACGGGAAGCAGGGATGAGGAGTGGGCAGGAGACACCGGCCCCATACCCTCCCACTGGCTCTGCTGAGCCGCCGTGCTGCCACAAGGCGCCTGTCCTTGCTGTGGGCAGCACAGGAGTTAATATTAGCTGCCGCCACGCTGATCCCAGGATTACCACCGTCCCTGCACCCCTAATCCTGCTGCCGGGCTGGGCAGGGCAGGCAGTGCCGCGGGCAGCAGCACGGCCGGCAGCTCCCGCCACGGGGCCACTCAGCAGATGTTTGCCAGATGTGGGCAGCTGCCTCCAGTGCTGGGCGGGAGCTCAGCCCATGGGGGTTCCAGCCCACAGTGCCGTGACCCCACGGTGCCAACACTAACTCCAACAGAGCCCTGGAGCCAGGAGGGTGAGAGGCTGAGCCGGGCAGTCAGCGGCACCAGAGCTGTGCTGGGGCACTGCCGGAGGAGCGTGGGCTCGTGCTGGTGTCTGGGACTGGTGGAAGCCCAGGACTGTGTCTGCCAGTGGGGATGGCAGTTTTCAGTGCTCCCAGTGGCTCCCAGTTTTCAGTGGGACATATCCATAGTGCAGGCATGAGACTGGCAGTGGGGCAGTGGCATCTGCAACCACCCTTTCTACTTCTGGCAAGCTGGTGTCCAGCACGCAGCTGCCCCAGCACAGTCACCCTGGCACAACCACTGGTACCCTGGCACAGCCACCCCAACACAGCCAGTCACCCCAGCACAGCCACTGTCACACAGTCACTGTCATCACGGCACAGCCACCCGAGCACAGCCACTGCTGCCCCGACACAGCCACCCCAGCACAGTCACCGTTGCCCCACCTACACACTCACCACAAAGGAAACCCAGCTGTCACCTGCGCCCCTCACCCGTCCCGCCGCAGGAAGACAAGACGGCTGCTCCGGCTGCACGGCAGTGCCGGGTTCACACAGGCCCCATTGGGGCCAAGCCCCCTGCCTCCAGCAGGGAACACCAGCGAGGTGTCCCAACGCTTGCGCCCGCCCACGCCCTTGGCAGCATTGCCCGCAGCCACACTTTGCCCACAGCTTCCCCAGGGGCAGAAGGGCTCCCTTCCCCCAGGGTCACAGAGCATGACATGGGCCTGTGGGCACCTGGGGGGAGGCACCTGGCGTGGGCCCTGTGGCCAAACCCAGCACCCAGGACAGGTGACACCAGCCCCACTGAGGTGCTGGCACAGGGCTGATGCTCCCACCTCCACCACTGGCACAGGGCTCAGGAGAAGCCTTAGCACCTGCCAGGGTGGTCACGGCTCCAGGGTTGGTGAGGAGGGACAGGGCTGGATGGCACAGCCAATGTCCCTCCCAGCTCCTCCCTAGGGTCACTGATGACAGCTGGACACTGGATGGTCCCATCTCAGCCATCGGACCAGCAGTGCCCAGCTGCAGCGGGAAGGGAAAGGAAGGGAAAGGAAGGGAAAGGAAGGGAAAGGAAGGG